ATATATTTGGGTAAAAACATATCTGAGAGATCATTATCACAGTATTACTAAAGTAAAGAGTGATCAGTTTGATATAGAAATATTTTAAAAAAAATGATCATGTTTCTACTTTGGTTAAATTTTTCAAGAGCAGCAATATAGTTGACATAATTTTAATGCTGGTAATATTTATTTTAACAACAGAAGAAAGTTATTTTTCATGTATAGTTAATAATGTTACATTTGTTGTTAAAATATTAATTTGTTCCCTTGTTATTGGAGGCTTTAGAATAGTTTAAATGTATGACAAAATTTTTGTTTCCCACCTTTTGGTATCAAGCACTAGATGAATGAACAATAGTGTATACAGCTGAATATCACATAAAAGTACACAAGATGGACATATGATTTCACACACCAACTCACCATGTGTGTTAGGAACTTTGTCTATGCACACCTGGCATTAGAAATACTGTCCTAGTCAAATAATCCTCCTAATATTTTCTAATGTCTCATTCTTTACAACCTTCCAATGCCCATTTTCAAAAGCAGATTTCAAATATTTTTGAAAGCAAAATGTCACACTTTGTTTGACATTGTGTATTTGAATGTATAAAAAGGTAGAGAAAAATGATTGTTCTTCACGAGGACCTGGTTGAATGCCCAGCGTCCACATATCAGCTCACAACTGTCTGTTACTCATGATCTAACACCCTCATACAGACATACATGCTGGCAAAACACCACTGCACATAAAATAAAAATAAATAAATGATTTAAAAACTATACTACCACTCTTACTAAGCACCTTCTTTAATATGTCACTAGTTTTTCTCTTGGGGGGGGTATTGCACTGAGTACTAGTTCTTCTGTTTAACATGACAAAATACAGGACAGAAACAACTTAGGAAAGGATTATTCTGTCTTATAGGTCCGAGGATACAGACTCTTAACATGACAAGGAAGGCATAGCAGTACAAGTAGAAAGTGGCTTGGCACGTTGCTTCTACTGACAGGAATTATATAAAAATGTATAATTTAGCAAAACTCCCTTCTACCTTTTCATTAAATACATAGTCTCAGTCTAGGAAATGGTGCCACCTATAGTTGGGGTGGTTCTTCACTTAATAACTAATGTAGATAACTCCGTACAGTTATCCACTGGCTTGTCTTTTCCACAATTCTAGAACTTGTCAAACTGATAACTGTCATTAGCCATCGCATTCTGCAAAATATTTTTTCATATTTTCTCACATATGTAATTTTCATAGTATCATGAATTTTAGAAATGAATATAATACCTTGTAGCAGAACTCACTGCATATGCTAATGAAATGTGAGAAACAATACATCCAAGTAGACATACTGTAGTTTCTGCTGAAAGTTTTATCTAGCAATGATTCATATTAAACATTGTCTGCAAAATGGGTAGGGGAAGATGCATGTTGCCTTCTTTCTCACTTACCTTTTGGAGAAAAAGTAAGTGCTGCTTTTACAGCATATACTCCTACCAACAACTCTGCCACAACTAAAATACCTTAGATCTACAGTTTGAAGAAATTTCCCCACTGAGAGATTATTTTACCAAGTTATTTTGGGACCTTAGAACTGAAATTGGTTCATTTCTAAGTATATTATATGAATTAGACCTTGCCATCCAAAAACTTACTTTACTTTCAGAAAAGCTTTAGAAGTATGTCTGGATATTGATATTTGCATAACCATCTCTCCACCCCATCACCCACTTTGCATCTTTTTCTTGAACACTGGACTACCAAAAGCATTTGAAAGTGAGTGCATGAGACTCCAAAGCTACTGGAATTAGTGCTCTAGCGCTCATGACACTGAACACTAATGTATTTTTCATTACTGTTTAATGTTGGGAAATCCCATTTCACAGAGCCCAAGGATTAAATTGCTTCATTTGGAGGGAACAAGTGCATTCCCTGTCTTTTTCCTTAGGTAAAAGAAAAAGAAGACGAACAAATCTGAGATCATTTGCATTTCTTAAGGGTTAAGGCTTGCATACAGTCTACTAAGAACAACATTTCAATACTGTGAAAACATTTAAAAATATTAACATTAGAAAGTCTCTGCATATGAAATACTAGAATAAAAATAAATAGTAAAATTGATTAATGTACATATGTATATCACTAATCATCCAGTAGTATTGTTAAAAGGAAAAATCACTCATAATCATTTAGTTTTATTGTTTGCAGAATTTCCTTCAAATGCTTATAAATAGCATATTATGAATAGTGATGAAACCATATTTAATTAAAAATGCAATAATGATATAATACCTCTGCTGTAGGTAGAATTGCAAAGTAAATCACCTTTAAAATATATGTATATGTTGATACATGTATATACACTTACAATTGAATATGCATATTTTAGTGATATTTAGTGCTTTGTGGCAGAACCTCTTAAAAGAGCTGCAAGTTTTTTTGTGGTAAAGCTGAGTGAGGAAGCTCTTTTAATGTAGCCATGCCTCTACTTACCTTCAGCAAACAGAGTCTACTGAAGAAAAGACAGTTACCAAGAATCTGCACTTGACTCTGTTCTTGTCTGTCTAGAATCCCTTTTATTTTAAGCTTTCTCAGGCTTTATGTCAAAATTCTTTTTTTTAATTTATTTATTTACTAAAGATTTCTGTCTCTTTCCCGCCACCGCCTCCCATTTCCCTCCCCCTCCCCCAATTGAGTCCCCCCCCCCAGCCCGAAAAGCAATCAGGGTTCCCTGTCCTGTGGGAAGTCCAAGGAACTCCCACCTCCATCTTGAGCATCCAAACTGCCTAGGCTCCCACAAAGCCAGTGCGTGCAGTAGGATCAGAAACACATTGCCATTGTTCTTGAGTTCTCAGTAGTCCTCATTGTCCGCTATGTTCAGAGAGTCCGGTTTTATCCCAGGCTTTTCCAGACCCAGGCCAGCTGGCCTTGGTGAGTTCCCAATAGAACATCCCCATTGTCTCAGTGTGTGAGTGCAAACACCTCGCGGTCCTGAGTTCCTTGCTCGTGCTCTCTCTCCTAACTCTATCAATTATGTCAAAATTCTTGTTAAACATTTGGGCTACATTTGTGGTCAAGTTTCAGAATGAAAGAAATTGAACCCCAAGCCAAGTTTGCCATTCTTCCAAATTCTATGCTCTTTTACTTTCCATTCTGTGTTTTAGAATTTACATTAGTTTAAGAGGAAGCAGACACATAAACATAGGTGAAAATTCAGAAAATTCAGAAGATTCTGTGCCTGAGAATCATAAGAAGGAGAAAATTTTATTATTTGTACTAAGCCACTGGCAGAGTCATATGCGAGTTCTATTCATGGTGAAACTATCAGTTTGCTTTGGTTCCTAAACAAATTTCCCATCTGTAAAATGGTCTTTTGTGTCTTAGAACTTTATGCTTCCTTGGGTTCAAACAATGCAAAACATATTTCTGTCTATGTGAGTATGAATACACAATTTAAAAATATTAATCAAATGTTAAATACTACTGATGACATTTTAGGGGTTATTGGATTTGGGCTAAACATGGAGTACAGGGGTGATTTAGGAAATTAACAGTGTTTTAAATATATAAGGATAGCTGAACACCTAATAGAGTCTGTAAATAAAATAATTACCATTCCTTACCATATCTGTCTTTTGTACAAAATCTGTCTTTTGTCTTTCATACTTTTATAAATTGAGTTTATTTAAAGGGGAAGCCACCTGTACTAGAAAAATCCAGCCAATAATTTGTCATGGTCTTTGCTCCTGAGATAATAGTGTCATGTTTTTGGGTGGGTTTTGTTGTTGTTGTTGTTGTTGTTGTTGTTTGAAAAGCAAGCCAGTGTCTTTAAAATTCATGTCTGAAATGAAAAGACTGAAAGAAGTAATTTTTCCCTCTGATCATTAACTGCAAAGTGGGCCTCAGAACACACCAGCTGAGCCCTCTGTTAGACATTGAAAGCCTCTGGCATTTTTCTGCTTTCCAACTCTGTCATTGGGGAGGTGGGACAAAGCAGTGCCGTCTACAAAGTTTATCCAGAACGTGCTGGTGTTACAAGCAATCACTTGAGGCCTATTATGCTTCTTCTGTGGAAGAGAGGTGGCTATCTGCAACAATAGTGATTTCTTTTCAAAGGGCCTTAATTGGGGTATTTCTCCTGGGCCGGATCCTAACTAACTGTTTTGATATGTGCCTGGGAGTACAGCAGTGGAAAAAGACCCAACAATAGCAACATCGGGAGTCTGAGGACTGCTGTCCCTATTTGCCCCCTGTGCAAACAAGCAGGAAAAAGTTTCCCCACTGTTGCCTAACCTACTGTTAACTTGGCAGGAATCCTAAAATGATGTGGAAAAAAGGCAAGGTGTGCAGACTTTGCTCTGCATGGCTGTGGAAATGCTTAGAGTAACCAGAACAATGTCCTCTTAGCCTGCCTTTTACAAGCAGCCACTCTGTGGTGTTGGACTGGTGTAGAGATTAGTTTCATGCAGTTGAGTTACACACTTGTGAGCTATTTTTCTGAAGTACGGATTTACTTCTGTGTAGGCAGGCTAGCATCCTTTCTTGAGGTAAGTCAGAAGGTGGCCTTATATTTTTATTTGAAGTGCTGAATGATTTTCCTCGCAACGAATTTGTGCCTCTCACTGGTATTTTCTGAAGTGAGATGTTATTTTGCAACTGATGGAAATCAGCTCACTTCTGTTCTGTAGTCTTATATCTCGTTGATGATTTATTTGTTCAGTAGCAAAAACTATGACAAATTGTGTGAGGCAGATTCATTACTTTTAGCTGGTATATTCCTGAAGAATTTACATGTAAATGCAACTGTGAATGTTTTACATTTCATAAGCTTGCTGCACGTGCTTTTGTAAGTTAAGTGACTTTTTTTTTTACAGATAGACTGAACTTCAAATTCCTTCCCCCCTCCTCACAGGTTATATTATCTGAAATCCTAATAAGTCTGTCAGGCTGTGTTCTCAAAGTAGGAGAGTAAGTCTTGATTTGCTTTTTTTCTTCTCTCCCTTTTAGACATGCAAAGCAGCCCACACAACCAGTTCACCTTCAGACCCCTCCCACCACCACCACCTCCTCCACACGCCTGCACCTGTGCCAGGAAGCCGCCTCCCACAGTGGACTCTCTTCAAAGAAGATCAATGACTACCCGCAGTCAGCCAAGCCCAGCTGCTCCTGCTCCTCCAACCAGCACACAGGATTCAGTTCATCTGCATAACAGCTGGGTCTTGAACAGCAACATACCGCTGGAGACCAGGTACTTAAGCTATTACTGATGACACTAAACTTGAATATTGACAGTTCCTAATAGTAGGAACTCCTTTCACCATGGTTGTCTGCGGAAAAACACAAATATGAACCACTATACACAATCAGGTGCATCAGTAAAAGGGCAGATCTCATCCCAGGCAGACAGGAAACAGTGATTCAGGCACACTCACAGACATGGAACAAAGCACATGTATGAGTCAACATGAAATAACAGATATATAAATACCTCATTTTCAGATACGGCCAAAAATAAAAGGAAGCAATGATCTGAGTTGTCACTATAGCCTCAATATGAAAATCAATTGTGTTGTATTTCAAGAAAGGAGAGAGGGGGAGGAAGAGAGGGAGGGAGAGAGGAGAGAGGAGAAAGGGAGGGAGAGAGGAGAGAAGAGAGAGGGAAGGAAGGAAGGGAGGAAGGAGAGAAAACAGTTGGAGGAACAGTGGCCATTGCCATGTTATTTATTATAAAATCACTTGAAAAGGAAAGTACCTTCTAATAGTTCAGAAAAGATTTGCCTTATGAAGGGAAACTGCATATGTACCTTGAAAATTGTATTCAAGTAGCATGACATTTTGAAGGACTGTTTTTCTGTCATGTCACACATTTGAATTTCTGAATTCACTACATAAGCTTTTATTGTGAATAAAGTTCTATTTCTCTACCATTCTAGGTCCTTAGACTATGAAATAATCAGCACTAGATAGGATTAATTGAGAAATCACTCACTATTTCCCATCATCCTTTCTTTTAACATTACAGTTTTTTGAGATGATAGTAAATCTCAGGGATGGAGCACTTGCCTGGAGTTCATCAGACCCTGAATTCAATCTTCATCACCACCCAAATGTTACTTTCTGTTAACATATCAAAACATAAACTAGTAAAGCAGAGAGAGCACTCTGTTGTCAAATTTCAGGAGTTCCTGCTGACTTCTCTATGTCTTAATCATTTTAGAAAGACAAATTTATATAAACAATGTTCAGAATATATCAGTCAATAAACAATGTCTGGCATGAACTTGTATCCCAATATCCTCTGGGAATCGTGACTGAAAGGGAGTGACTAATAAACTCACATAATGAGGCTTTCCTTTCTAGTAGCATATTAAATTAGAAGGCATCAGCGAGTATCACTACTTCCACTGAAAGTGCTGTGGCCCAAATCCAGAAAACTGTATCATTCATCATATACTGGATTAAAAAGGTTTGTAAGCCCCCTTTTTTTCTGATCCCTTCCAATGGGACATGCAACAGTAGCAGTCAGGATCTGTGGTGAAGACAGCACATTCAGAATAGTACTAATGATAAGGTTTGTGCATTGTTCTTTTTTGTTGAAAATTTCATACAGGCATATAATGTATTTTGATAAAAATCAGCCCTTTATTCCATCCCCATTCCTTTCCTTATCCCCATACCTCTTGTTCTTCTTCTTCTTTCATTGTAATTGGAGGGAGGAAGTCTATAAAATGAGAGAAGCAATGAATAATGGAAATCTACAGGGGCAGGAGTGATAGCTGAACATTTAAGAGCTAATCTTCCAGGCTATTCTTCCAGTAGAACTCAGTTTAACTCCTAACACCTACATGACTTCCCACAATCATCTAACTCTAGCCCCTGGAGATCTGACACCATCTTTTCCTCTTATTGGGCACCAGACATGCACATAGTGCATAGACATACATGTAAGGTAAAACACTCATAAACCTAAAATAAAAATAATAAATTAAAGAAATTGAAGAAAATGTAAATATTCATAGTTTTGAAAGAGAGGTTACTCCCTCATTTTTCTTTTGACTAGTCTGTGGGGCTAAGGAAGCAGTGTGGATAACTAGCTGTTCTGTCAAGCAAACACAGTCCCTTCTTCTAGGAAGACAAATAACAGGAAATCTGGAAGGAGGATGGAGATAGGATCAGGCAAATTTAGAGAAAACTATTCTTATTTGAAATGTACATCTAGGCATGTTTGTACAAATTGCACCCACGGACCTTCTGTATCTGTGCAAGGAACGTAATAATTGGTCTCAGCTTCCTACGATGTAGAGACAAACATAAGTTTTCATGTGAGACTGCGGAGAGAGCCTTTTTAGCCCATTTGAAAATATATTCAGCATCAGAAAACTCAAATTGAAAATACCTACAAGCCTTATTGGCCTGATTAACTAGAACTTTTCAAATTTATCCTTGAAAAATATCTATTTCATACTTAGTCAATAAAAAGTAAGAATGAGTGCATAGTAATTTATGGACAAACTAAATAATAGGACCTCTTAGAGCCTTAGCTTCCTCATTTGTAAAATTAAGTACAAAACATCTTCCAGACTTAAGAGCAAGCACTTACGTCCTGTCTTCCATCCCAAGGATGTTCCCAAAACTGCCTATCATGCTCATGTGTTAAAAAGAACAAACTAATATAATATAAAGTGCCTTGTGCATTGTGAAACACTTTGCACATTGAAAGGTGACATTATTATCTCTACTAAGTGGTCACCTGTGTCTTTTTATATATCTCCAGTAAGGAAATTGACTAATAACTGAAATATTTTATTCTACCTCAAAAAACTGCTTGAAGATTCCTATTGAACCCAAATCGGCTACTTCTATTATGCCCTTCATTATCCCCTAAGTTTAGAGGCTCACCAAATAAAGACCCCTCTGTCACTTCTCATTATTTATGACTATGATATGTTAAGCTAAGTGATTCCTCAATTACTTCCCATATTCCTCACATTTCTGGATTTCAACTTCCATTCTTGATAACTTTCTTTAAAGCACACCCCACTTTGCCCAAACTGCTCTAGGAATGTAGTTTAAAGCTCAGTGTAGCTCAAGTCTTACCAGCTCCTTTGGCTTCAAGTCTCAGAGATCCATCAGGTTTCCCTGAAAAGCACACATTTTCAATTGATCTTGGTCCCTGAAAACTCAAGAAACTCTAGTCAAGACCCAAAGAAAAGTCAAAGTTTATAGACATAGATTTTGAACGTTAAAAGACAGGGAAATGTTCTATGTTGTTACTCCATTCTTTGTCCAATAGCTTGTTCTTGCCAATGACTCAATGTTTCTTTTGTCTACCACAGTATCTGCTTACACCTTTGCTAACTGCTTCATTTCATTTTGGCACTAGGTTCCAAAGCCTGTAAAGGGGAATTTGATTAGCTTACTTCATCTCTTATGTACTACAGTTTAAGCTTTTAAGCAAACCATATCAGTCGTTCTCTCCTTCCACTGAGTCCAGGGCCAAGAAGAAATCCATGTGGTTAAAAGATTAAAAATTTTTGGTCACCAACCTGGCATTTGACAGTCTTTCTCATAATTCCTCCTAAGACTGCTTGGTAGGAAAGACCTGGGAGTCTACCAGATGGCCCTCATATAGGATTCTTTTTTTTTTTTATTGCGAAAAGAAGGAAAAAAAAACATAAACAAAAAAACAAGTTTCCATCTCCTCCCAGCCTCCCATTTCCCTTCCCCTCCTCCCACCCTTCTCCCCCTCCTCCCACCCTTCTCCCCCTCCCCCCACTCCTCTCCCCCTCCTCCCTCTCCAGTCCACAGAGCAGTCAGGGTTCCCTGCCCTGTGGTAAGTCCTAGGTCCTCCCCCCTCCGTCCATATCTAGGAAGGTGAACATCCAAACTGGCTAGGCTCCCACAAAGCCAACACATTAAGTAGGATCAAAACCCCCTGCCATTGTCCTTGGTGTCTCATCAGCCCTCATTGTTCGCCATGTTCAGAGAGTCCAGTTTTATCCCATGCTTTTTCGGTCACAGTCCAGCTGGCCTTGGTGAGCTCCCCGTAGATCAGCTCCACTGTCTCAGTGGGTGGATGCATGCCTCGTGGTCCCGAATTCTTTGCTCATGGTCTCCCTCCTTCTGCTCCTCCTTGGGACCTTGGGAGCTCAGTCCAGTGCTCCTGAGTGGGTCTCTGTCTCTATCTCTATCCATCACCAGATGAAGATTCTATGATGATATGCAAGATATACGTCAGTATTGCTCTAGGATAGGGTCATTTCAGGTTCCCAATCCTCAGCTGCCCAAGGAACTAGCTGGGAACCTCATCTTGGGCACTAGGGAGCCCCTCTAGGTTCAAGTCTCTTGCCCACCCTAAACTGGCTCCCTTAACTAAGAATTGTGCTTCCATGCTCCCCTATCCACCTTTCCTTTATCCCAATTCTCCTGTTTCCCAGGTCCCCCCTCCTTCCCTTCTACCTTTTCTCTCCCCATCTCCCTTTACCCCCATCCCACCCCATCCCCAAGATCCCATTTTCTCCCCGGAAATTTGGTCTACTTCCCTTAGCCAAGAGGACAACTATATGTTTTTCCTTGGGTTCACCTTCTTACTTAGCTTCTTTAGGTTCACCTCTTGTAGACTCCGTGGTCCTTATTTATGGCTAGAAACCAATTATGAGTGAGTACATCCCATATTCATCTTTTTGGGTCTGGGACACCTCACTCAGGATAGTGTTTTCTATTTCCATCCATTTGCATGCAAAATTCGAGAAGTCATTGTTTTTTACCGCAACGTAGTACTCTAGCGTGTATATATTCCATACTTTCTTCATCCATTCTTCCATTGAAGGGCATCTAGGTGGTTTCCAGGTTCTGGCTATTACAAATAATACTGCTATGAACATAGTTGATACACAAAGGATATGGAAGCAGAGAGGGAAATCAGAGAAACTTCACCATTCACGATAGCCACAAATAGCATAAAATATCTTGGGGTAAATCTAACCAAGGAAGTGAAAGATTTATTTGACAAGAACTTTAAGGCATTGAAGAAAGAAATTGAAGAGGATACCAAAAAATGGATGGACCTCCCTTGCTCTTGGATTGGGAGGATCAACATAGTAAAAATGGCAATTCTACCTAAGGCAATTTATAGATTCAATGCAATCCCCATCAAGATCCCATCAAAATTCTTCACAGATCTGGAGAAGACAATAATCAACTTTATATGGAAAAACAAAAAACCCAGGATAGCCAAAACAATCCTAT